GGGGGGGGGGGGGGGGGGGGGGGGGGGGGGGGAGGGGGGGGGGGGGGGGGGGGGGGGGGGGGGGGGGGGGGGGGGGGGGGGGGGGGGGGGGGGGGGGGGGGGGGGGGGGGGGGGGGGGGGGGGGGGGGGGGGGGGGGGGGGGGGGGGGGGGGGGGGGGGGGGGGGGGGGGGGGGGGGGGGGGGGGGGGGGGGGGGGGGGGGGGGGGGGGGGGGGGGGGGGGGGGGGGGGGGGGGGGGGGGGGGGGGGGGGGGGGGGGGGGGGGGGGGGGGGGGGGGGGGGGGGGGGGGGGGGGGGGGGGGGGGGGGGGGGGGGGGGGGGGGGGGGGGGGGGGGGGGGGGGGGGGGGGGGGGGGGGGGGGGGGGGGGGGGGGGGGGGGGGGGGGGGGGGGGGGGGGGGGGGGGGGGGGGGGGGGGGGGGGGGGGGGGGGGGGGGGGGGGGGGGGGGGGGGGGGGGGGGGGGGGGGGGGGGGGGGGGGGGGGGGGGGGGGGGGGGGGGGGGGGGGGGGGGGGGGGGGGGGGGGGGGGGGGGGGGGGGGGGGGGGGGGGGGGGGGGGGGGGGGGGGGGGGGGGGGGGGGGGGGGGGGGGGGGGGGGGGGGGGGGGGGGGGGGGGGGGGGGGGGGGGGGGGGGGGGGGGGGGGGGGGGGGGGGGGGGGGGGGGGGGGGGGGGGAGGGGGGGGGGGGGGGGGGGGGGGGGGGGGGGGGGGGGGGGGGGGGGGGGGGGGGGGGGGGGGGGGGGGGGGGGGGGGGGGGGGGGGGGGGGGGGGGGGGGGGGGGGGGGGGGGGGGGGGGGGGGGGGGGGGGGGGGGGGGGGGGGGGGGGGGGGGGGGGGGGGGGGGGGGGGGGGGGGGGGGGGGGGGGGGGGGGGGGGGGGGGGGGGGGGGGGGGGGGGGGGGGGGGGGGGGGGGGGGGGGGGGGGGGGGGGGGGGGGGGGGGGGGGGGGGGGGGGGGGGGGGGGGGGGGGGGGGGGGGGGGGGGGGGGGGGGGGGGGGGGGGGGGGGGGGGGGGGGGGGGGGGGGGGGGGGGGGGGGGGGGGGGGGGGGGGGGGGGGGGGGGGGGGGGGGGGGGGGGGGGGGGGGGGGGGAAAGGGGGGGGGGGGGGGGGGGGGGGGGGGGGGGGGGGGGGGGGGGGGGGGGGGGGGGGGGGGGGGGGGGGGGGGGGGGGGGGGGGGGGGGGGGGGGGGGGGGGGGGGGGGGGGGGGGGGGGGGGGGGGGGTGGGGGGGGGGGGGGGGGGGGGGGGGGGGGGGGGGAAAGGGGGGGGGAAAGGGGGGGGGGGGGGGGGGGGGGGGGGGGGGGGGGGGGGGGTGGGGAAAGGGGGGTGGGGGAGTGGGGGGGGGGGGGGGGGGGGGGGGGGGGGGAGTGGGGGAGTGAGGGGAAAGAGTGAGGGGGGTGAGTGAGAGAGTGAGTGAAAGATTCAAAGAGTGAGTGAAAGAGAATCAAAGTGAGTGAAAGAGAATCAAAGTGAGTGAAAGAGAATCAAAGTGAGCGAGGGAGCTGGTGATCGAGTAAGTGGAAAAAGTGAGGGAAGGAGTGAGGGAAGGAGTGAGGGAAAGAGTATGCGTGTATAGTGTTAATAAAGAAGAGCGACTGTTTGACAGATTAAGAAGTTTTTGTCTCCTATGGGAGACCGGGGTTCCTATTCTCTGTTAGGTTAAGAATGATTTTCTTTATGTGCAAAATTAAAATCCTAACCTGCACAGTTCATGGCAACAGCACTAGACATGAGGCCCTAAATCCACAATCTGAATACTCCTCCCCCCCCCCCCCCTCACCCCCCCCCCTTTTTTTCGCCTACCGCAGAAGTGATAAATACATTAAGTAACGCGGTAATAAGCAAATTTCTGGCATTATCACCAAAATGTTCTTTATCGTCAAATAATGCCTAGAGTAGCAAATTGTTAAGCAAACCTTTAATGCAATGGCAACATCATAAAAGTTGACCTTGGCGAATTGTGAAGATACCACAACCAGGACTAACTAAGGCGTGCACGTAATTCCATAGAATTGGCTTTGGTGTTCTGGATCTGTTTTATTGATAGGTATTTAATACCATATCTTTATCTTCTTTTGCTTCTCCTTATCTCTTTGAGCCTCGTGTTGTTCTCAAATTTCTCCTTTCATCCTAAGCAAATCATTGTGTTTTTCTTTTTTTTTTTTATGGAGTGCAATGCTTTACATTGTAAGTAAGAGGGAATGTACTAATTACAGAGGAATATCACTACTCAGTCACACTGGGAAAATGTATGCTAAGATCATCGAAAAAAGGCTGAGACCATTGATAGAGTATCAACTTTCAGAAGCACAGATGGGCTTTCGACGAAACAGAAGTTGCACAGATGCTATTTATACATTGAGACAACTATCAGAGAGGGCAATAGAACATGATAAGACATGTTTGTTGACATTCATAGACCAAGAAAAAGCCTTCGATAGAGTCGACAGGAATATGTTGTGGGAATGTATGGGGAAAAAAGGAATCAGCAATCATCTCAATATTTGCAAAAGCCTGTACACACGTAGTGAATGCTGCATAAGATCAAAGGCGGGGTTGTCTAGAACTTTTATAGTGAACTCTGGTGTGCGTCAGGGCTGTATACTATCGCCGCTTCTTTTTATAACATACATGGACGCCATATGTAGCGAAACAGACTTTAATCAGGGAGAAGATATAACAGAATTACTATTCGCCGACGACCAGGTACTCATAGCAGAAAATATGGAATGCCTACAGAACCACCTAAATCAAATTAGTAACAAAGGGGAGCAATATAATATGAAAATAAACACTACGAAGACAGAGACAATGATGATAGGAAGACATAAAGACAATTTAGAAATTAAATTAAAAAACACCCTGAGACAAACAGAGGAATTTAAGTATTTGGGAGCAATTTTTACTTCAGACGGAAAACTGGACAGAGAAATTAGCTCCAGATGTGCCAAAGCTAATCAAGTAATGGGTCAACTATCTCCCCTGTTGACACACAAGCATATACCTCAGAGTACTAAAGTGAATCTTATCAGAACTATTTTTTGGCCAATACTATGCTATCAGTGCCAAACGTGGACACTTACATCCTCCAATGAACGTAAAATTGTGACAACAGAGATGAAATGCCTTAGAAGAGCTGCAGGAGTTTCAAGGAAAGGCAGAATACAAAATCATGAAATCAGACGAATGCTAGGAATAAAGCCAGTCTTACAGGTCATCAAAGAACATCAAATGAAATGGTTTGGACACCTAACAAGAATGCCCTGGTACTATCTGCCACAGCGAGCCACACTAAAACGTTACAACGGGTATAAAGCGAGTGGAAGACCTCGGAAAATATGGAGTGATGGCATTAAGAACAGCCTTACAGAAATGAACATCAGTCTTAATAGTGCTCTTGACAGAGCTCATCAACGAACATTACATCTCCCCCCGACACTTCGATGAGGTACAAGGTGGAAGAGAAGAAGAATGCTTTACATTCATCAGCTCTTGTGTCTTTTTTTTTTCCTTTCTGGAATGCAATGCTATAAATTCATTAGCTTTTAATATCCTTTTTTCTGGAATACAATGCTTTACATGCATAAACCCTTAATAATTATTCATTGCTAGTTTCTCTGACTGTCCAAGTATTATCAACATTCATATCAAAGAACACCGTACTGCGCCCAAACGCTTTGTGATCACTTTCCAAAATTCATTGTCGAGAAATTTCAGTCTCTTTTTTTCTGACACGAAAAGGACGAAACAGGGTCCCTTTTATCCCAATAAAATATTTATTTTCGGTTCTTTATCACCTAAAACCCTTATACACCCTTTGCCAGTTCATCCCCAGTCGCCTGTACGGTCATGTAGCGGCCAGACGCTTGTCTGCGGATCCAAGCGTCGTGGGATCGGGTGCTGATAGAGACGAACTCTTCAACAATTGACCCTGGGCACCAGATCCATCCTGCCTTAAATGGCTACCAGACAGAGTCCTGGGAAGTAAACGTGACTGGCGTGATGTTGACCCACATCATCCACCGAGTGCCGATTGGTCAGTAAAATTTAGGGCAAGCCCTATAGGCCATACACACCTGAAGGCGGAAAAGTAGGTCATTAACTTGATTTACACCTGGTCCTTAAGGGGTTACTACACTTTAAAAAAAAATTTTATTTACATTGTTAGACTAATTCTTTTATAACAGTAGTTTGTAGGGATGTATGTTAATACATTTGAAGTTTTTAAAAATGGTTGCCATGGCAACAGCCGCCATATTGGGGGAAGAAACAGCACGTACATAGAGTTATAAAATTGCAAAAAACAAACATACGTATTGAAAAATAGATGGATTCATGAACCTTAATAACAGATTGAGGCAATGGTGTAGTTTATTTACTAAGGCGTTTCAAAAAATTTTACTTAGAACTTTTGAAATTTAGTTTTTTTTTTTTTTTTTTGAAAAGGTAAAAAAAAAAAGTAGCATCATAAGACAATATTCAAATTTAAAAAAAAAAACTTCCTAAAATCAATTTTTTAATACACCAGAGGCTATAATATTCTGTAAGGAGTGAGTATCCATGCCAAATTTTATGTTTCTAGTCTTCATATTAGCTTAGATTTTGAACAACATAGCTCATCCCTTGTCCCACATTTGTTCAGCTCTCTGTAATCTCTTTATGTTTTTTCTTAGTCTCTCTCCGTCTCATTCTCTCTCTCTCTCTCTCTCTCTCTCTCTCTCTCTCTCTCTCTCTCTCTCTCTCTATCTATCTATCTCTCTCTCTGTGTGTGTGTGTGTGTGTGTGTGTTTATGTCTGCCCGTATTCCCTTGACTGTGGGTTCTCGTGCAAGGATTTACGAGTTATACTATATATGCTATACATATCTCACCTAACGCCAGTCAAATTTTTTGTGTGCACCTGTTGGCTGGTTCTCATAGGCAAAGATCTAGTTACTTATAGGTGACAAACATTACAGAGAAATGTAAATGCACTTGCTTATAACCATATGTTACAGATTCTAAGAGAAAGATGCGATTAAACAGAGTCATTTCTGCTGTACACCTCAGTCTGATTGTTCACCTCTGTATTGCCAGTGGAGCGAAGCCTGTATCCATGTATATTAAAATGGAGTCAACCAGTGTAAATTATGTCTATGTGAATTTCTACAACGATATGTTTCAAAGGTAGGTGCTCAAATAAGTATTCGGAACAAAGTGTCACATTAGCTTGTTCATAGAGAATCCATTAGAGCATGTACACACAGAATCCATTAGAGCATGTACACACAGAATCCATTCGAGCATGTACACACAATCCATTCGAGCATGTACACACAGAATCCATTCAAGCATGTACACACAGAATCCATTCAAGCATGTACACACAGAATCCATTCAAGCATGTACACACAGAATCCATTAGAGCATGTACACACAGAATCCATTCGAGCATGTACACACAGAATCCATTCAAGCATGTACACACAGAATCCATTAGAGCATGTACACACAGAATCCAATAGAGCATGTACACACAGAATCCAATGGAGCATGTACACACAGAATCCAATAGAGCATGTACACACAGAATCCAATAGAGCATGTACACACATAATCCAATAGAGCATGTACACACAGAATCCAATAGAGCATGTACACACAGAATCCAATAGAGCATGTACACACAGAATCCAATAGAGCAAGTACACACAGAATCCAATAGAGCAAGTACACACGGAATCCATTCGAGCATGTACACACGGAATCCATTCGAGCATGTACACACGGAATCCATTAGAGCATGTACACACGGAATCCATTAGAGCATGTACACACATAATCCATTAGAGCATGTAGACACATAATCCATTAGAGCATGTAGACACATAATCCATTAGAGCATGTAGACACATAATCCATTAGAGCATGTAGACACATAATCCATTAGAGCATGTAGACACAGAATCCATTAGAGCATGTACACACAGAATCCATTAGAGCATGTACACACAGAATCCATTAGAGCATGTACACACAGAATCCATTAGAGCATGTACACACAGAATCCATTAGAGCTTGTACACACAAAATCCATTAGAGCTTGTACACACAGAATCCAATAGAGCTTGTACACACAGAATCCAATAGAGCTTGTACACACAGAATCCAATAGAGCTTGTACACACAGAATCCAATAGAGCTTGTACACACAGAATCCAATAGAGCTTGTACACACAGAATCCAATAGAGCTTGTACACACAGAATACATTAGCTTGTACACACAGAATACATTAGCTTGTACACACAGAATACATTAGCTTGTGCATACAGAATACATTAGCTTGTGCATACAGAATACATCAGCTTGTACATACAGAATACATCAGCTTGTACATACAGAATACATCAGCTTGTACATACAGAATACATCAGCTTGTACATACAGAATACATTAGCTTGTACATACAGAATACATTAGCTTGTACATACAGAATACATTAGCTTGTGCATACAGAATACATTAGCTTGTACATACAGAATACATTAGCTTGTGCATACAGAATACATTAGCTTGTGCATACAGAATACATCAGCTTGTACATACAGAATACATCAGCTTGTACATACAGAATACATTAGCTTGTGCATACAGAATACATTAGCTTGTGCATACAGAATACATCAGCTTGTGCATACAGAATACATCAGCTTGTGCATACAGAATACATCAGCTTGTGCATACAGAATACATCAGCTTGTACATACAGAATACATCAGCTTGTACATACAGAATACATCAGCTTGTACATACAGAATACATTAGCTTGTGCATACAGAATACATTAGCTTGTACATACAGAATACATTAGCTTGTGCATACAGAATACATTAGCTTGTGCATACAGAATACATTAGCTTGTGCATACAGAATACATTAGCTTGTGCATACAAAACACATTAGGTTGTACATACAGAATAGTTAAGTTGTTTTTTTTTCCTAAAGTACCTAGCGATTAACATTTTTAAATATGATCAACATGAAAAAAGTACACTACGAGCGGATTAAAATCAAGACCCTTTTTTGGAGGGTAGTTCGTTCGTTCGTTCATCACAAGTGATGAGGACCATTCTTTCTTTCATCCGTCATCAAACTGCAGTTGACTGTTTGTGAGTCAAGGACAATGAGGGCAGAGCATAGTGTCTGTAGACAAAGGTTTTGTTAAAGTCACGCGGTTAACTAATCCAAGGACGATGTACCAATGACATCCTTTTTCCTTCAAACTTGTCACCGAATTCAAAGTGCTAGATTTAATTTCCACAGCATGCTTTAGTGATGATAATAATATATAATCAAAAAATATAAATTTGAAAACAATACCAGATGAAATTGATCAACCTTTCATTGATGTTAAGCTGTAAAGTGCTTATATCGCATCCTAGATGGAAACCACAAAAGAACTTGCGAACAATCTGCTTTTTAGAGGCATACGCACTAAAGAAACATATATCAATCAATTTTTACTTTTCAATTAGGCAGTGTGGGGAAAAACAGTTTGCTTGGGATGTAGCAATGGTTCCTCGCCATTCCGTGTTGATGTCTTATTTGCACATCAGATCTCTTAAGGTATTGGTTGTTGTGGTCGCATTCTAACGATATGACCAATCTAATCTAATATAATCTGCTTTTCGCTGAATTTGACGAAAGCTTTACCCTCGTAGTCTGGTAGTATCGCACAGACTTAATGTCCTTTTAATATGTCAGTGTTATATTTATCTTACTAATGCAGTCATCTGATTATGCAAATTACATAACTGGTGCGAAAGAGTCTTGGGAGCCAATCATCCTTAATCCTAATGTTCGAATGTCAATTATGGACAACTGGCTAATTAGTGACATTTCACAAGGAACTGCAGGCATATTTTTACAGAAGATGATTACAAAAACATAAGTTTACGCAAGTGTAACTGTAAACTGAAACATTTTACTTACTTAATACAAGTCCAAATTGTGTGGACACGACAGTGAATCAGGGCAGAACGGAAGTACAGTGACAACAGAAAAGTGAAGAGCAGAGAGACATGAAGCCAACAGAGCAGGTAGTTTGGTAACAGTTGATTGGTTAACATCTGTTTAAGAAAAAAATAAGCATCGCATGAGGCAGAAGGATATGGACATAACCAACGTCAGTGGGAGAAATTACAAGGCAAATAATTTGGCTACCATTGCAACTATCTTATGAATATACAGTCAGCACTGGATTGTAAATTCACTAGTATCCAAAGCCCATGAACGAAATACATTCGTGTATATGCGTTGTGACGACCTAAGGGCATCCTAATATTCTTCAGCACATATAGTATCATTATGGCCAATTTCTACTTCTGCCATTAGGCGTACAATCTGCGATCCATTGGCTTGATGGGCAGCAATGGCCACTATCATTCCGTGTGGATGTAGACGATCTTTAATGTCAGTCCATCTTCTAGGACTGCCTTTTGATTTCACTTCAGATCTTGTCATGTATGTGTTGCGCCTGCGTTGGTAGCCGTTCTGGCTGAATCCTTACTACATGACCAAACCATTTTAACTTATGTGTCTGAGTGAATATGTTGCATGGTTTTTGTTTCTACAGCCTGCCATAATATAATTTCTAACATTATCTCGAATGGTTAATTTGCGGCTTTTCTCAGGTATCTAATTTCACATAGGTTGAACAAAAGATGTCCAAGTATGGCACTGGTAGCACAGTGTTTGTATAAATATGCTATTTATATATATATATATATATTTTTTTTGCGCTCATACTTACGTTTGGATGTCTTAATAAAGGTGCCAGTTGATATGTAAGTACACTGTCTCATTGTCATCATGTTTCTATTTCCCGATCTATTCTCCCGTCCTCCGAGAATATACTTCCTAACTATTTACATTTTTTGACTTTTTGACTCTCGGACAAGTGCCATTCAACCCAGTATCTGGCGGACTTGGAATTCCGCTAACCTGCATTACCTAAGTTTTAGTAGTATTTTACTTTCATGTTATTTCTTCTGCACGTTGAGCTCGGCCTGTTCAAATGTTCAAACATTCGTCATATGATATGTAGAACAGGCGCTGGTCGTCTGTAAATATTAGCTCATTTACTGTGTGTGGATCTAATTCACCCTCTGGGAAGTAAAGTGGAAGAATTAATTGTCAGCTTGTAATGTTCTTGCAGACGCTTTGTCTCTGGTCTTAGAATAGGACGGAGAGTTTTTCAACACAGCACCACACAGATAATGCGTGGCTGGAAGGAAAATGTTTACTCCAATCTGGGTCCTTTTTATGAATTTATGTTAGGCATAAGAGTTAACAAACATGTCTTTGTTGTTTGCACAGCTATTCAACCCACTTTTGAATACTATCTTCTGAAATAAATTTGTATAATAGAACATACTTATAATCAACACCATGGCAAAGTTCTTGTTACTGTTCTAAAAGTTGTCAGTTCAACTTTTGGCTCCACCCTTCGGTCGATGGCGCAGGGTTGTTTGGAAATATGATGGTCGTTGCTGGAGCTACGTAATGCGTAGTGTGCAACGGTGTGGATAAGCCTCTCTACGGAGATAGCATGCGGCAGAATGAATTCTACTATTTTGTCCATTAAACATACATTTTACAATGTCTTGCTGCTAGAATCTTATGTACACTGTGTTATTACTTCTTTCCAGACTGTATAACTGCATAACAGACCTCCACACTACACAATGTACAGTTCATTTACAGTTTCATGAAAAAGGCTCACCGTATCCAGCACTGAACAACTATAATGTGACAAAAGTAACATCGGATGGGATAATGTCTATAGCTCAAGGCTATTTTATTTGCCACAATAATCTGTCCACAACTTCCCTCCAATGTAGCAGAAAGAGAGGACAATGTGGTGGAAATTGTACTTCTTTTCGTCTTAGTAACGCCTCCGTGTGTAAATGTGGGTATTTAATGTGGAAGTATCAAAACGAAACTCTTTTATTTAATAACAAGACTGACAGTATCGAATATTGTGATAAGGATTGTGCTGAAACTACAACTGTCTACAGTACAGAACAAAGTTCATATCTAAGTGTGGCATTACCATCAGAACAGTCTCCGGATGCTACGACCAGCGCTTCAAACGCTACAAACATCGCTAGCTCTGGCGGAGACAAATCATCTAATACTGTCCCAGTCATCATTGGAGTTGTCTTGGGTGTGTTTTTTATAGCTGTAATTGTTATTCTCGTCGTCCTTATATATAGACGAAAGAAACAGACAAAGAGGCAGGTCAGTAACAAGGGCAATAATTCCTCTCCTTCAAACACATGCTACAACGGAGGTCCTGCCCAGAGTAACGCTTCAAATATTCCCGATGTGTTAAGTACATTACCCTCTTCTAGCCGTGGACATGAAACAAACAGAGAGTCAGAAGACGGTTATTATACTATAGACACTATAGACAAAGACTATGGTTTAAACAGATATGAGAACGGCCAAAATACTCTTTCTTTAAAGGTGTCTCCGAGACCATCTGAAGGTGTTCTCAGTTCTCGCAGTTTAAATAGCTACACCAATGAGCTTAGATTTTCCCCACAGACCTTACACACATATGACAGCGATGCTGTTAATTCTAAAATGTCTCACGCTCGAGAAGGAGACTATTTCACTATTGACAATGAAAATGATGACGGCGCAAAATTAAAACCAATAGAAGGTGTTCTCAATTCTAGCGGTGTAAGTAAATACACAAATGAGCTTAGATTTTCCCCACAGACATTACACACATATGACAGCGATGCTGTTAAATCAGAACCGCTTCACGCTCCAGAACAAGACTATTTCACTCTTGAAACTGAAAACGATTTCGGTGAAGATGATACGCCCGTAGACGAGGAACAGACCACAGACGGAGGCTACAGTCTAGCCAAGGATGTGGACATCATCGATGAGGCCCCAGTGGTTGATGTGATTGACGTAAGTGCACCGCCCAAGAATATTTACTCTAAGTTTGGGGACAACGACAACAGGGACATGAAGAACCCATATGATAAACTGCTTGAGAAACACCAGATTCTCAACCCCAGAAAGACTTAAGTTGATGAGACTCCATTGCAAGGAAGTGTTCAACAAGGCAACAATGACCACATGAAGGGCTGATGATTCTACCGCGCTTCCCGGAAAATAAGACCTGTCCCAAAATAACCCTATGACGATTTTTCATGATGCTTTAATATAAACCCTACCTCCACCCCCCCCCCCCCTCTCCCAAATAAAGTCATGACTTTTATTGCTGGCCAGGAGAGACTTGGGCCAATGGTTCTACAAGAAATGGAGTCGCACAACATGCAGACCGGAATTCAAGATGTGGAGAGTTATGATGGTGTTCCACAAGAAGATCACTATTTTAATAAATGTAGAATTTAGGTTGCAATGATGAAAAGTAAACCCCCGCACAACTGGTGTTAGTCGCCACACGCTGATTAATCTACTGAAGATGGGATCTGAACGCTTATGGACTCGTCCGATGTGCAATGAAGATAATCTGAAGATTACCTTACTAAGATTACAATTTTGTACATGAATACTGTAGAATACTGTTTTAATCAAAAAAGTGTATATCAATATATTTTTACTATAGAACTCATATGTTTGCATTGCCAAATGCTCTTATCGAGGGTGATTACACAAATACCAGACTACTTTGTAAGGCTAAAGTTACAAGTGTATTACATTACTAAAGGTCTTGACAGTTGACAAGACATCTGTACTACATTATTCATTTACTTGAAATCCAATAAAATTAACTTACATTTTTATTAAGTTTTTTTTTTTTTTAATTATATACCAGACATTTTTATTGAAACGATTGGAAGTTACGTTTGTATATACTATTACCTTAGTATAGGGTGTATTTTTAATGTGTATTTTTAATGACTTGACTTTTTAAAATAAATTATTTGCACACTGTAATTAAATATGTCTATTAAATCATGTTTCAAGCGTCTTGTAACCGTTAGTTAAGAGCTTCACAGCTATAAACCGGTGTTTCAGTAATTATCTTAGCTATAATGGTGTTAACCAAGGGAAAAAAGCATTTATAGTTGAGCAAACGTTCCTTAACGATGGCAGGTATTCGAATGTGGTTGTTAAAAACAGTTCATGATGCCATTTCCTGTTACGTGTATTCATCCGAATATTGTTAGAAATGTAAAAAGTAGAATCGTTTGTAATTAGAGCTGGAATGTGGAAAACAGGACCAAAATAGGATAAACTACATCTGTGTGTGTGTGTGTGTGTGTGTGTGTGTGTGTGTTGCATTAACTTCAGACAAAAAAGGAACAGCAATATTTTCAACCCTACCCCACCCCCTTACCACCCTCGGCGCAAAAAAAAAAAAGTTCTAGCCCTTTATGCCCTATACACATAAAGGTGTGGAAAAGGGTCCATAATTTTAACTTTTAATTATGTATCACATTACTAAAATGTAAGATAACACTGACTGGAAGTTATTTCTGGGCATTATGTATAACACTCAAATGCATGATAACACTGACTAGACGTTACATTTGTGCGTTATGTATTACATTACTCAAACGCATGATTATACTGACTAGACCTTACATGTGTGCATTATGTATTACATTACTCTGCATGATCATACGTAATTCTAACATGCATTTGTATTATATTCTGACTTGTGCATTGTCTCATATTGATTTACCATTTCTAAGCAATAAACAAACATACAAGAACGGATCGACTCTAATAGACAGAATGAAAGAGGTAAGAGGATACAGTATACAACATACAAATCAAAAGCTGTAGTTACCAAGATGGTAATCGAACCTGACACCTTCAAATGACGAAGGCGCCTCGCTGCAGAAGCAAGGTTTTTTTCAGGGATCTTGGTGGCGCGCATTGAGAAGCTATTTTAAATGGCACACATAACCTAGTCACAATTATAACCTACTATATCATTGGGTAGTGAATTGATACATGACAAGGCAGATGTGGTCATGACCCTTAGGGAACAAGCAACGGAATCAGTAGAGAAACTAGATTATTATAGCTTGGAGAGAATGAGGCACCTGGGTGTAGCCAGAGGGTCTGGCCGGCTCACTACACTCAGAGGAAAGGCAAGACTGACATACCAGATTTGACCGGTACCATCAATATTGGAAATCTGTTCTGGCTGCTGAAGATGAAGACGGAGCACTCATGGGAATATTCCGAGGGCTGTGATGTCAATTCTCGACTCAACTCAGCACAATTATAACCTAAAGCTTCCCTTCCAGGATGCCGGTGGAACGTGGTGACTGTTCACGGATCTACAACAACTATGGAATACGGACAATTTTAAACTATAGCACCATAGGTTACAGAAATGTATATAAACCAAGCGTAGGTTGAATACCAAATAAACACCAGACCCTCATTACAGTGTCTTGTATGTCACTAAAATTTAAAGAACAGAAATGCTTGGTCGGATCATATGTGACCTGTGAAAACTCGGGACGGAAAGTTCTGATTGTACGTCTAATCCTGGACTGCGTGCGAATAAACTAGATCTGCAAAACGGATGTGCACGTAGTCCCCACGTTCTGGAACAAGAGCAATGTCCAGAAGTAGACGAACAACCAAAACATTCCGTCAAACATTTGAACTAAAAATGATATTGCTCAACAAAATTAAATCAAAAAATTTTTTAAGTAAAAAGTAAAGATCCCTTTTCCCGCATTTAGGCGCATCGGGTATATTGGAAGAGCACCGCATATTTTAACTTGGCCAATCGGCACTCAATCAGGGTTACGTGAAGCCATGGAAGCAGGTGGTGGATGGAGTGTAAGAGCAGCCGACAGGTATTGTTGGTTATGGTCTGCACTCTGCGGCGATAGGCAGATGATCTCATCAGTAGAGACAATGGCTATGGCCACCGACTAGTATAGTCACTGCTCAGGAGGAAAGCAACGGCAAACTACCTTCTGCAAATTTTGCCAAGAATCCATAACAATCATGAAAGAACTTGGGTAAAGAAAAGAACAAATGCATCCATACTTCAAGAGCTGAATATTGAAGAGGGTTGGCTAGTAAAGACAATAAAACAAAGAAAATTGAAATATTTTGGTCACTTGAAACGTCATGGAAGTCTAGAGAGAACAATAATGGAGGGGTATATGCCTGGGAAGAGAGGAAGAGGAAGGCCAAGGAGAAGATGGGTGCAGGATGTGGCAGATGATCTCCAGATGGGTGTATCAGACGCAGGACATCTTGCTCATGATAGGAAGGTTTTCCGGAGGGTTGTTATGGCAGCGAGGTTCCGCGAGGGACATGCTACTGAATGAATGAATCGGCACTGGGTGGGTAATGTGGTCAGCATTACGCCGGCCGTCTTTATTTTCCCAGGACAGCCATCCAGGTACCCACTTTAGGCTGGGTCGACCTGCGACGCCACATACCACGATAAAAATCCACGCAACCAGCAATTGGGTTCGATCGCGGTACGTTGTATTGCGAGTCGGACTTGCAACGCCTAGGCCACGGACGCCACCATTGTTAAAGTGCACTCCCAAACATATCTCATCTCTTGTCTGGTTTGAATCAATACAGAGGATGTCTCTAGATTCTTGAAGCTAAGCAAAGGTATACATCCTTTACCTTGAAACCATCGCATTGCGTGTTTTTGTTGTTGACGGTGTGATTTTAAACTGGCAATTTATGTTCAATGGGTTGTCATGGAATGCTTAAGGAAAACAAAGTAGATCGAATTCATGAATGAAGATTAAGAAATACGAGAAAATGTCTGGGCAACCCCTGGTAACAACAGTTGGAGAAGAGTGCTACATTGGACACATCCTGAGAAGAAACCAGCAGAGAATCATAAAACAGACACGACAATAGCAAATAAAAGGATTGAGGAAGCGAGGGCGTCCAGCAGAAACCCTAAAACCAAAGTTGCGAGTCCACAGGTACAAAGCACACTGGACTGCATCCATGATATCAAGGGTTGCATATAGTCAACGGAATAAAGATAGATTGTGAGGCCTATGTTGTGAGGCCTATGTTGTGAGGCCTATGTTGTGAGGCCTATGTTGTGAGGCCTATGTTGTGAGGCCTATGTTGTGAGGCCTATGTTGTGAGGCCTATGTTGTGAGGCCTATGTTGTGAGGCCTATGTTGTGAGGCCTATGTTGTGAGGCCTATGTTGTG